TCTTCAACTGTGCTTTCGGTGACCCCGCTTAACTCCTTGCCTCCACCGTCCTTGTTCCGAAACTCTGGCTGTCCAGCTCCTTGGGACGTCCTCCTGACGTGAAAGGCGCTTTACAAATGTAATTTTGTTTTTGTTGTTATTGAATAGAGACCAAGTTAATGCAATCTGGCCTCATAGTATAAACCTTTAAGCTCCCGATGTTAAAGTCTCTATATACAAAGTAATTATGTATTGTATTGTGTTGGTATCACAATAAAATAGACGAGTGTACAATCTCTCAGTGTTGCTTATGAGGCTGTGACGTCAGGATTGGCTGTGATGAGATATGAGACACAACACAGAATGAGGAACAGATACAGGAGGGTCCAGACTGCAGTGTCACAGGTAGGATGGTCTATATGGAGTTCTCACTGGTAATATCATCTTATATAGAGGTATCATTGTTAATATCAGACTATATAGTTACTGTCAATAGCAGACAATATAGGTGTCACTGTTAATATTAGACTGCATAAAGGTATCACTTTTATATCAGGCTATTAGTTTCTCACTGTTAATATCGGACTATGTAGAAATATCACTGTTAATATCAGATGATATACAACAATTCACATTTGTATAGCATGTCCCAAGGCGCTGGCGAATGGGAGGAGGAGTGGAGGGTAGGGTTGGGAGGGTGACAAAGGATGCTCGTCCGGCTTTGAAGGAGGAAAGGAAGGGGACGTTCACAAATGGAGAAATTTAGCTCTCATTCAGGACTCCCTCCCTCCTTCACTCACTCAATCCCTGTCCCCTCCCTCTGTCACTCCCTCATTCATTCATCTCAATCAATTGGCCCTCAATCACGAATTCATGTCAGCCACTACCTCATTCACACTCTTCCTCCGTCCCTCCCTCATTCCCTCAACTCTTTCTTTCCAGCCTCTCACTTACTTTAATTCTCTCTCCTTCTCCCTCAATTTATCTCTCATTCACTCCCCCTCATTCTGTTTCTTTCTTTCTTTCTCTCTCTCTCTCAAAATATCTTATGTTGGCAATTAGCCTATGACTGAGGATAGAGGACTCTCTTGCTATGTGTGTGTCTCTATCTCTGCCTGTCTCTCGATCTGTCTCTCTCTTGCTCTGTTTCTTTCTCTGTCTCTCTCTGTCTGTGGCAGGCAAAGTGGTGGAAGAAGGTGGTCCTGGTCAGTAACCGGATATGGTGGAGGAAGGAGAGCTGTGGGTCCAACCGGACGCCTAGACTGTTACTGGTTCGCTGAGTTTGAAGGAGAGCCCAGGGAGATTTGAGGAGTTTAGATCCGCAGGAGTAAAGACGATGACGAGAGCCAAGGAATATGGCTTCCGTCTTGTTCACATTCAGCTGCAGGACGTTTGCTCCCATCCAGGCCCTGAGTGAGTGCAAATTTATCAGAGAGAGAGCCACAGAGAAATTTATTTTTACAAATTATATTAATCATCTTATAACTCGTGATGTCTGTGAGAGACTGAGATAGAAAGCATGAGAGGGAGAGAGAAAAATAGTAACAATACATACACCAGTTTTCTATTAAAACCACTTAAATTTATTTGTGTAAGTCATATTAATCATCTACTAACTCATATTGTGTATGTGAGAGTGAATGAGAGAAAGACTGAGACACAGAGAGTGAGAATAACTTTCTTTGTATAAGTCATATTAATTTTCTTTTAACTCTTATTAATCATTTTGAAACTCGTAATGTGTATCAGAGAGATTAAGAGACAGTGAACAAGAGAGGGAGGGTCAGGAAGGGGGTCCAAACATGGGGTCAAAGGATGGCAAGGATGATGGCAAGGGTCACAGACCTCCCCCCCCCCAAAACAGACAATCCTGAAATGGTAATATCCTTCAAGGTCAAATTATTTCCTGAGTCCCACACCTGCGTTGGTGAGAGAGAGTGAGATAGAGAGAGATTGTGTGTGAGAGAGAGACTGAAAAACAAGGATTGATAGGGAGCAAGAGAACGTGAGAGAGAAAACATTGGAGGGTTTGTAATAGAGGTAACAGAGAAAGTGAGCGAATGTGAGAGTGTGTGTGAGAGAGAGAGAGTGTGTATGACACAGAGAGAGACACGGACACTCTCCATATCTCTCTCTTTCCTGAATCCCACATCTGTGCATGCGTGTGTGAGAGAGAGAGAGAGAGTGAGAGAGTGTGATTGAGTGACATTAATTGATAGGGAGAAAGAGAACAAGAGAGAGGAAAATTGAATTGGAGGGTTTGTGATAAAGGGGAGAGATAATGAGAATGTGAGAGAGAAAAACAGAGTGTAAGAGAGACTGAGACAATGTGGATGTGAGACCACAAAGTAGGGAGTTTGACAGACAGAGTTGGGTGAGAGAAGCAGAGATTGACAGGGAGCAAGAGAATGAGAGAGAGGAAAATTCAATTGGAGGGTTTGTGATAAAAGCGAGAGAGATAGAAATGTGTGATAGACAGTGTCTGTGAGAGGGAGTCTGTGTGAGAGAGAGTGTCTGTGTGAGAGAGAGTGTCTGTGTGAGAGAGAGTGTCTGTGTGAGACAGAGTGTCTGTGTGAGACGGAGTGTCTGTGTGAGACGGAGTGTCTGTGTGAGAGGGAGTGTCTGTGTGAGAGGGAGTGTCTGTGTGTGAGAGAGTGTCTGTGTGTGAGAGAGTGTCTGTGTGTGAGAGAGAGTCTGTGTGTGAGAGAGAGTCTGTGTGTGAGAGAGAGTCTGTGTGTGAGAGAGAGTCTGTGTGTGAGAGTGTCTGCGAGAGAGAGTGTCTGCGAGAGAGAGACAGAGAGTGCGATGGAGAGAGACAGATTGATAGGGGATGAGAGAACGAGAGAGGAAAAAAGAATTGAAGGGTTTTTGATCAAGGTGAGAGCGTGAGTGTGAGAGTCAGAGAGAAAGAACATAAGAATTAGGAGCAGGAGTAGGCCATTCGGTCCCTCAAGCCTGCCCCACCATTTGATCAGATCATGGCTGATCTTCAGACCTAACTCTAATTACCTGCCCTATCCCCATATCCCCTAATCCCTCTATTTTTTAAAAAAATCTATCAGTCTCAGCCTTGAAGATGTTCAAGGACTGAGCATCTACAGCCTTCTGGGGTAGTGAATTCCATAAATTCACTATCCGATGAGTGAAGAAATGTTTCCTCAACTCTGTTCTAAAAGGCTGACCCTTAATTTTAGAACTGTAACCCCTGGTTATAGATTCTCCTTCCAGGGGAAACAGACCCTCAGTGTCTACTTTATCAGCCCTTTAAGCAACTTATATGTTTCAATAAGATCTCCCCTAATTCTTCTGTATTCTAGAGAATACAGCCCTAGTTTATTCAGCCTATCATCATAGGTCAGTCCCCTCATCCAGGAACTAACCGAGTGAATCTACGCTGCACCCCCTCCAGGGCAAGTATGTCCTTTTTTAAATAAGGAGACCAAAACTGCACACAATATTCTAGGTGCGGTCTCACCAAGCCCTATAGAGTTGCAGCAAGACTTCCCTACTCTTGTACTCTAAACCTTTTGCAATCAACGCTAACATGCCGTTCGCCTTCTTACTTGTTTGCTGCACCTGCAAACTAACTTTTTGAGACTGGTGTACAAGGACACCAAAATCCCTCTGAACACTAACACTATCTAATCTCTCCTCTTCTGGAAAATAATCTGTTTTTCTATTTTTGCTACCTCGGTGAATAACTTCACACTTCCCCATATTAAATTCTATCTGCCACCTACTCGCCCACTCCCCTCGCCTATCTATATCCCGTTGCAATCTTTTTGCATCATCCTCAGAGCTTACTCTCCCACCGAGTTTAATGTCATCTGCGAATTTAGATACGTTACATTCAATGTCCTTGTCTAGATCACTGATGTAAATTGTAAATAGCTGAGACCCAAGCACTGATCCTTGTGGCACTTCACTCGTCACATCCTGCGAATTCGAGAATGACCCGTTTATCCCTACTCTCTGTTTTCTACCCATTAGCCACTCTTCAATCCATGCTAATATGTTCCCATTAATCCCGTGGACCTTAACCTTGTGCAATAGCCTTTTGTGTGCTTTGTACAATAGGCTTTTGGGTACTTTGTCAAATGCCTTTTCAAAATCTAAATATACTACATCTACTGGTTCCCCCCCATCTAACCTGCTAGATACATCTTCAAAAAATTCTAAAAGATTAGTTAAGCATAACTTCCCTTTTGTAAAGCCATATTGACTCTGCCTAATCTTGTTAAGGTCTTCCAGGAATCCCATAACGACATCCTTAATTAAGAAATTTTCCTACCACTGATGTCAGAAGAGAGAGTGAGACTGGGAGAGAAGGAAAGAGATTCATAAGGGTGTGAGGGAACGAGAGATAGAAAAAAAAGATTCAAAGAGTTTGTGATAAAGGTATGAGAGAAAGAGAGAAAGTGAGAGAGACAGAGATTGATAGGGAGCGAGGGAAAGATACAGGAAAGGAGAGATGACAGAGAGCAAGAGACTCATAACAAGAGAAAGAGAGAATGTGTGTCAGTCTATCTCTGTCTCTCGGTAAAACAATGGGAGAAAGAGATAGACTGACACAATGGGAAAAAGAGACCGAGCGAGAGAGACCAAGCGAGAGACACAGATTGATAGGGAGAGAGATCCTCCAGTCAAACCTGTTCCAGTCATACTATGAGAAACAGACATTGGGCAAGTTTCCTTACTCCACACAGAGCCTAATAATAATCCCTCCAAAAACCAAAAACAATAATAAATTGGTCATTTTCAATCTACCACTGTTTGTGGGACATTGCTGTGCGCAATTGGCTGCCGCGTTCGCCCACAAATATACAGTCGATTCACTTTACAGTGTGTTCTGTGAAGCGCTTTGGGATGTTCTCCCGACGTGAAAAGCGCTATATCAAATGCAAGGATTATTATTATTATTATCGCCACTGGTATCAACCATCTATACCAGAGAGAGAAAATGAGTGACAGAGAGAGTGTGAAATAGAGAGAGAATGTGAAAGAGATAGAGAGAAACTGACCCATATATTGTGAGATGTGGAGAGAGGTTGATTCAATTGGATATTTTTCTCCTCAAAGCTTTTTGTTTCTTCATTTGAACTTCTTATCATTCGAGCGACACTGCGAGAGGGAGAGAAAGGGAGAACGTGAGAGAAAATGAGCGTAGAGGGAGCTTTACTGTGTCTCTAACCCTGACTTGATAGTGTGGACGCATAGTGTAGATGGAGCTTCAATGTCTCAATAACCCTGAACTGGGAGTGTGGACGGATGCACAGTGCAGCGGGAGCTTTACTGTGTCTCACGCACAGTGAGACTGAAACAGACTGAGACAGAGAGAGAGACAGAGAAAGGGATAAAGAGTGAGTGAGATTCAGAGAGAGTTTGAAAAATGGGATTAATAATAGAATTGGAAAGCAGAGTCAGCAACAACAACAACAAAATTACATTTCTACAGCACCTCTCACATCGGGAGGATGTCCCAAGGCTCTGGACAATCAGTGTTTTAGACCCGAGCTGCGGGTCGGGATCGGGGAGGGTGCAGGGGGCAAGAAAGGTGACCAAAGGTATGGTCAAAGAGGAAGGTCTTGAGATGGGTATCAAAGGAGGCGAGGGAGGGGGCGAGGCAGAGGGATTGCGAAATGGATTTCCAGGTGGGGGCAGAGTGCTGAAGGCTCTACCGCCAATTGTGGGGCGGGTGACGTGGAACAGTCCGCAGCCCACTGAGCGCAGGGAGTGGACAGGTTGATCAGGGGTTAGGAGGTCGCAGAGGTCGGGGTCATGGAGGGCTTTGAAGGTGAGAAACTGGATCTTGAACTGTATCCTCTGTGTGATGAGTCGGGCGATAGGGATGATAGGATCACGGAGCCTGGCGCGGGAAAGAGTTCTGAATGATCTGCAGCCTATCTTCATAGTTGGGGAGGCCGACAAGCATGGATTTTCCATAGTCAAGCCTCAATGTAATAATGAAGGTGTGTATGAGGGTCTCAGTGGCCTGTGGTGTGAGACAGCGGCGGAGCCAGGCGATGTCGCGGCAAGGCAGAGCGGGTTATGGCACAGATGTGGGGTAGAAAGGATAGTTGAGGGTCCCAAGGTTCCAGACTGGCTCAGTGAGGTGGAGTGAGCAGCCATGGATGGTGATGCTGTCAACGCCTGAGCTGTGGAGGTGCTGACGGGAGCCAATCAGAATGGCCTCAGTCTTGTTGACATTCAGCTGTCTGTAGCTCTGATCCAGGACGTAATGTCTGACAAACATTCTGTCAGGACAGCAGTGGTTCTGGAGTTGAGGGTGGAGGCAGAGAGATAGAGTTGGGTGTCATCCGCATACATGTGGAAGTTGACCCCAGGCAGAGGGAGCCTGTGGGCGGCACAGAAACTCGATTGGAGGATTGGAGGAGTTCGTGGAGGGAGTGGCGGGAGAGGAAGGAGAAAAGCTAGGAAGCAACGACTCGTGCTAGGACCTTGGAGAGGAAAGGGAGGCTGGAAGTAAGTTGGGTCCAGGGAGGGTTTTTGAAGGATTGGAGTGATGACGGCCATTTTTAATGCGGTGGGAATGGGACCAGAGGACAGTCACGGGTTTATGATGTCTGTCAGTAGGGAGGAAGGAGGTGGATCTGGGAGGTAAGGAGAAGGGTTGGGATGGAGTTCAGGGAGTAGGTGGTCGGTTTGATGCGGGTTTATAGGTCCCCAGGTGTAGTGCTCCTCCCAATATGAGAGGCAATCTACGAGGATGATCCTAGGTGGTCAGGTTACTGCTATCAGGATAGACTGGAGACTAGGTCTTTCTTCACTGGAGAAGAGTTCAAGAGAGGCCCTAATAGAGGGGCTTAACATTATCCAATGGTTTGATAAGGTTAGCAGATATAGGCTGGTCTGACTTGTTGGGAAATCTGTAACCAGGTGACACACGTATAAGAATGTAATTTGTTGTTGTTGTAGTTACCATGGGATCTAAATGAGATGCATTTTAGAGTAAGTGAGATAGACACATGAGGAAGATGGGAATAGAAGGGAGGGAGTAAGGAGTGGATGGAGAGTGGAACATGTGGAGCAAACAGTAGGATGGACTAGCTGGGCCGAGTGACCTGTTTCCGTGCTGGAAATCAATGTAAAGTGTATTTAACATTGAGTTAGTTACCTCCTTGCTTTTCTCCCTCGCTGGCTCCCTCTTACTGGCTTCTATCCTGAACGCAGGCTTGAAACATTTTACTTCTGAGAGGTAGACAAAAAGGGCAGCTCATATCAAGGACACAAAACTCTGTCTCCCCATCACGCAGACTCTATTGGCTCTCAATTACCCAACGGATCGATTTCAAGATCCTGTCACTAGTTTTCAAACCCCTTCCTGCCCTCGCACCTCCCTACCTATCCAATCTGCTTACCTCCCACTGCACTCATATGGCTCCGGCCTCCTGTTCGTCCCCGTGGCTTGAGCAACTGTGTCCCGAAACTCTCTCCCACAATCCCTCCTCCTTCACTCCCTCCCCTCTTTTAAATCCCGGCTAACAAACGTCCTTTTTGATCGACTCCCTCCCCCTCTCCCCTGGCTCGGGGTCAGAATCCGCCACGGTCAAGCGCTACTGTACACTATCACACGTGGAGGACTCTAATATAAAAGCAAGATAATAATAAACCTTGCATTTGAAAAAGCGCTTTTCACGTCGGGAGGATGTCCCAAAGCGCTTCACAGAACACACCGTAGAGTGAATTGACTGTATATTTGTGGGCGAACGTGGCAGCCAATTGCGCACAGCAATGTCCCACAAACAGTCGTAGATTGAAAATGACCAATTTTATTATTGGTTTTGGAGGGATTATTATTAGGCTCTGTGTGTAATAATAATAATAATCCTTGCATTTGATATAGCGCTTTTCACGTCGGGAGGACGTCCCAAAGCGCTTCACAGAATATACTGTAAAGTGAGTTGACTGTATATTTGTGGGCGAACGCGGCAGCCAATTGCGCACAGCAATGTCCCACAAACAGTCATAGATTGAAAATGACCAATTTAATTATTGTTTTTGTTTTTTGGAGGGATTATTATTAGGCTCTGTGTGGAGTAAGGAAACTTGCCCAAGGTTTCGCCCTGCCTGGAATTGAACTCAGGTCTCTCACTTGCAAAGCGAGTGCTCTAACTACTGAGCTACAGGACTCCACTGTCCTGAGCGAGTGATGTTGTTACCACACCCCCCTTAGCCCCACACCCCATTAATGCCACACGGCCCCCACTGCATAAACAACACAGAATTTCCATTCCCCTTTCACCACCAGGACTGTTTGCCACATTAATAACACACACGCCATGTACTCCCCTTGAAGGCAGGTTTAAACAATTTAAAGATATAAAAATAATAATCCTGGCATGTGATACAATGCCATATCACGTCTTCGAGACGTCTCAAAGTGCCTCCCGGAATTTACTGCAAAGTGTAGTGACTGTGAATTTAATGAATGAAACGCGGCAGCCAATAGCACTCAGCGATGCCCCACAAACAGTGGCCATTGAGTGAGCAGTTTATTATTTTTCAAAGGGATTATTAACCCCAGAAAGTGATCCCCCAATCGACCGGAAACCGGGTTCCTCCTGACCGCTGGTAATCAGAGCGCGTGGGGTGAGGACACTCACCCAGTGTTGTGCTCTGTTGGCAATCAAACCCTGGTCCTCTGGCTTGTGAGGCGAGAGCTCGAATCGCCACCATATACCCTGAGAAGCGCTTTGAGACGTCTCAACGCGGAGAGAAGGCGCCGTGTGTGTGTGTGTGTGTATTTTCCAGGATTATTATTATGACAATGAGCCAAACTCGGAGCCACGTGTCGTTTGGAGATGTACAAAGGTGTAGAGAGAGAGAGAGGCGGTCCCCCCCACAGCTGCAGCTCACACCGTCACACACGCTCTCACACTCTCTCTCTGACCGCATCAAACATCAGCGCCGGGTTGTCCGGCCGCTCGGGGCCGCTCCCTCTTCAGCTGATCACCGCCTCCGCCATGTCTGAGCTTCTTGTCTTCCTCCAACCGTCACTGTCTCCCCGCCCACTCGCTCACCCATTGGTTCTTCCAAACATCCGCCCCCTCATTCAGCGTTTTTCATTGGACAGCTTTGATGTCAATCAGACACTGCGCTGTCGTAGCCCCGTTTCCACGTCAATCATCTACACATCGCCGCCTCGCGCCCTCTGTCCAACCGTCACTTTCGCCCCGCCCACTCAATCCCCATTGGTCCCGTATACTTGCCTCCTCAGACTTAGCTTTCCATTGGCCGGACGCTTTGTCAATCAGGTAGCGCGGACTCTCACAGGCCTGTGTCCACGTCAATCATCTCCCCCTCCTCCCCACCTCGCTGTCCAACTGTCACTTTCGTCCCGCCCACTCGCTCCCCATTGGTTCTGCTGGACACCCGCCTCCTCAGTCCCATTGATCGGCTGCCTTGTCAATATGACGCTTCGAGCTCTGATAGGCCGCGTGACCACGTCAATCAACTCCCTCCCGCCTCGCGCTCGCTGTCCAACCGTCACTCTCGTGCCCTTTTCTGAAAGAGAACCGACCTCCTGCGGTTACGGGGAAAGACCGGTCAACAAAACTGAAGAGCTGTGAATGTGTCCTTTTGCGCAAGAGATTTCTACGGCTCTGCGCTGCCTCTTTGGGGAGGAAAGAACAATTTGGAAAGTGTTGTGGATAATATCTGAGACAGATCACACACACAGACGTGTCAGTTGGCACCGACTGCGCAGACTTTCTCTGCGGCTTCGCTACAGGATCGGGATAATAATAATAATAATCCTTGCATTTGATATAGCGCTTTTCACGTCGGGAGGACGTCCCAAAGCGCTTCACAGAACACACTGTAAAGTGAATTGACTGTATATTTGTGGGCGAACGCGGCAGCCAATTGCGCACAGCAATGTCCCACAAACAGTCGTAGATTGAAAATGACCAATTTAATTATTGTTTTTGGTTTTTTGGAGGGATTATTATTAGGCTCTGTGTGGAGTAAGGAAACTTGCCCAAGGTTTCGCCCTCTGCCTGGAATTGAACTCAGGTCTCTCGCTTGCAAAGCGAGTGCTCTAACCACTGAGCTACAGGACTCCACTGTGGAATTTGTGTTGTTGAAGTAATCCACCGTTAACTTGTTTCCCTTTAGAATATCCCGCAGAGAGAGAGAGAGAGAGAGAGCGTGGCTGGGGCCGGGCCGGGCACGGACGCCGCGAGCGGGCGAGTCAGGCCGACAAAGCCGTGTCGTGAGCGGTTGGAGAGACTCACAGCTCAAACCGCCCGTTTTATCGCCTCTTCTTTTATTCCCGTCTCTTTCGCTGCGGGTATCCGCTCGGCTCAGCGGCTCCCACTCTGCCCTCTCAGTCAAAAGGCTGTGAGCTCGGCCCCCCCTCCTCTCGGGCCCTCCCCTCGGGTTGGACTGAACTCACAGCCCAGTGTCAGGAAAGAGTGACAATAAAACGCGAACTCTGCAGAGATCCTGAGCCGCTGCTGCCCTCGAGGCCTCCGGTTGTTCCCCAGGAATGTGCAGTGGCTTCTGATTGGGGAACAGGAAGGAACTGGAGCCAAAACTGAGAGTTTGCACCAATCACATTGAGAGCTGTTGGGGTTTGACCACTGCAGGTAAACACACCCGACACTGTCAGCCAATCAGCGAGAGCACCAGGGAGCCGGTGCCGTGTGATTGGCCGGAGCTTCACCCACAGTAACCAATCAGGTCAAAATATATTGTCCCCACACACGGCAGAGGGAACAGAGGCGGCGACATGGCCTGTGGAGCTGCCAGTGAGGGGCTGAGCTCCACACACCACCGAGCGAGTGGAGGGGAGGCCGAGAGCAGCAGATACTGTTTGAGAAAGAGGGCGAGAAGATCTGACACTGAGGACACTATCCCGGGGAAAGGTCATGGTCTCCGACTCAATTACAGCTTCTGTTGTGTTTAACAATATTTAAATATTGCTTAATTACTACATGTTCTGAACTCCTCTCCCTCCGGCCTTCATCCCTCACTGACCCCTCGTCTCTCACCCTCCTCCACAACACCCTCTCCTCCACACTCGACACTCTGCCCCCATCACCTCCCGTACTGTCTCCTACTCTCGCTCCTCCCCCTGGTTCACCACCCACCTCCGCTCACTGAAGAGCCCGGTGTGGGCCGCTGAACGCACCTGCCTCAAATCTGGCCTAATGGTCCCCTGACAAATCTGGTTGGACCTCCTCAAAATCTACCGCTCCACTCTAGCCTCAGCCAAGTCGTCCTTCTACTCCAGGATAATCCTGGAGGCGAAGAACAACCCCAGGCTACTGTTCTCTACCACATCCCGACTCCTCCGTCCCCCCCGCCACCCCGCGCAGGTCATCTCCTCCAACCTTCACTGCGAGGAGATGCTGGATTTCCTTGAATCCAAAATCAAGGGAATCCACTCCGTGGTCACTGCCCCTCCAACTTCCACCCACTCCCCACCGCTTCCCTCCCACACTCCGACTCCTACCCATCCTCCCCTACATACCTTCGAACACGTTTCCCCACCCTCTGTCACCAACCTCATCCTGTCCCTGAAACCCACCACCTGCTCCCTTGAACCCATCCCCACTCCACTCCTTATCTCCCAGCTCCACCTCCTTGCCCCACTTCTCACAGACATCATCAACCTGTCCCGCTCCTCTGGCTCTGTTCCCATTCACCTAAAAACTGCCACCATCACTCCCACTTTGAAAAAACCCTCCTTTGATGCGTCGCAGCTATCAAGCTCCCGGCCCATCTCCAACCTCCCCTTCCTGTCCAAGGTCCTTGAAATAGTTGTCGCCTCCCAGCTGTGCTCTTTCCTCTCCACCCATTCATTATTTGAACCCCTCCAGTCGGGTTTCCGTGCTGCCCATAGCACAGAAACTGCCCTGGTCAAGGTCACTAATGACATCTTGACCATCTGCGACCAGGGCTCCCTCGTCCTCCTCGACCTATCGGCCGCATTCGATACGGTCGACCACGCTATCCTCCTCCACCACTTGTCTTCCCACCTCAACGTTCAAGGCCCTGTCCTTGAGTGGTTTAGGTTGTACCTCTCCCACTGTCTTCATTTTGTTTCCACAAACGGCCTTTCCTCCACCCCCCGCACTGTCTCGTGCGGTGTCCCTCAGGCTCTGTCCTCGGTCCCCTCCTCTTCACCCTCTATATGCTCCCCCTGTGGTGACATCATCCGCAGACATGGGGTTAACTTCCACATGTATGCGGATGACACCCAACTCTACCTTTCCTCCTCTACCCTCAACTCCACGACCCCCGATGTCCTGACAGCTGTCTGTCCGACATCGAGTCCTGGACGAGAGATATCTTTCTTCTGCTCAACGTACACAAAACTGAGGCCCTCCTGATTGGCTCACGTCAGCGCCTCCGCACCTCAGGCGCTGACAGCATCAGCATCCAAGGCTGCACTCTCCACCTCTCAAAGCCATCAGGAACCTCGGGGTTCTGTTCAACCCTGAGCTGTCCTTTCTTCCTCATATCTGCGCCATATAACTGGCACCGCCTTCCATCACCTCCGGAATATCGCCAGACTACGGCACTACCTCACCCCTCACGCTGCTGAAACTCTGGTCCACGCCTTTATCACCTCAAGGCTAGACTATGGGAACTCTCTCCTCGCCGGCCTTCCCGGCCCTCCCTCCACACTGCAGGGCTTTCAGAACTCTGCAGCTCGTGTACTGTCCCGCACCAGACACCGCGACCACATCACTCCCACCCTCGCTCACCTCCACTGGCTCCCCATCCCCCAGAGGATCGAATTCAAGATCCTCATCGTCACCTACAAGGCCATTCACGGCCTCGCTCCCTCCTACCTCTCCGACCTACTATCCCCCTACCTACCTGTCCGTACCCTCCGTTCCTCTGGCTCCGGTCTGCTCCACATCCCCCGCCCCAACCGCCCTACCATCGGTGGCCGGGCCTTCAGCCTCTCAGCCCCTATGCTCTGGAACTCTATCCCCCAGTGTCTTCGCCGCTTCCTCCCTTTCCTCCTTCAAGGCCGGTCTGAAGACCTTTCTCTTCAACTGTGCCTTCCGCTCCCCTCTCGACTCTCTAACTCCTCCTCGCTCCCTCCCTTCCCTCCCCTCAGCCTGACCGTTTCCCCACTGCTCGGGTCCTGACCCAACTGTCCAGTGCCTTGGGACGTCCTCCCGACGTGAAAGGCGCTCTATAAATGAAATGTTGTTGTTGTATTCAAGTACACATAGTATTTGAACAGTATTAAGCAGATAAAATGGTGACTAATGTACAGAGAAATTGAGTATGTTAATTTGATTTCTAAAATAAAAGTAAGTTGGAGAAACAGAAGCCAGCAACTTAGACTGTGGAAGTCTCAGGGAAGAGAAACTTATTGCTTCTCGATCTCTCTGTCTGTTAGTCACGATTTTAGTTGCTTAAGATATTCATTAAATACTACATGTACATACTACTAGCGCATTTCACGTTGGGAGGACGTCCCAAGGCGCTCAACAGTCAGAGTTTTGGACCCGAGCTGGGATTTTGGATGGGGAAGGGTGGAGGACAATGGGGGAACCAGGGTAATCAAAAGCACGGTTGAAAAGGAGGGTCTTAAGGAGGCAAGGGAGGGATGAGGCGGAGGGACCGTGGAATAGAGTTCCAGAGGGAGGGGCAGAGTGGCAGAAGACCCTCCCACCAATAGTGAGCGAGGCGGGAGGACGTGAAGCAGGCCAGAGCCCGGTGAGCGGAGGGAGCGAGCAGGATTGTAGGGGTTTAGGATGTCGCAGTGGTCGTGGGAAGCAAGACCATGGAGGGTTTTGAAGATGAGGACCAGGATTTTGAACTGTATCCTCTGTGTGATGGGAAGCTTGTGGAATCGGGTGACGATGGCGGTGATAGGGTCACCGAGCCTGGTGCAGGAGAAGACACAATGCTGCACAGTTCTGGATGATCTGCAGCCCACGGCGGGAGGAGTTGGGGAGGCCGACAAGCAAGGACTTTGCATAGTCAAGCCGAGATGTAATGAAAGTGGGTAAGAGGGTTTCAACGGCTTGAGTG